CCCAATCTGCATGTCTCCGGACTGTGGGAGAAAGTCAGAGTACAGAGAAAAAACCTACACAGAGAGAAAGAGAGGATTCAAACCGGGAACCATCTAGCTGTGATGCAGCACCACTGTTCCACCGTGTCCCCGAAAACAAAGACAGCACAACACAACAACAGTTTTGTGTATATGAATATTTGCTTCATGATGTAAGTTTGAATTTTGCAGGGCTCAATTTTCTACAACCATCAAGTATAAAACACGATGATGATGATGATAATTATAATAATAATGACTCAATATTGCAAATTTATAATAAAAGATTTATGAACACAACATTAGAACCACTCTTCTCTGTGGCAACAAGAATTGAACACAGTTAAAAAGCACAGATGTTACTAATAATATCAACAATGACTCTTTTGTATAATGGTGCAAAGCAAGAACAAATGATGAACAATAATTTAGGCATCATCCACTTTATTATTTACGCCTGTGCTTTAACTACAATATTTCAAAATGTTTGCTCTGAAAAAGGATGAAGTCATTAGGCGAGAAATTAAATTATAATAAGAGAAATCAAAGTATTACAGAACAGGACGGACTTGTTTTCCTTTTATAGGAGTGTTTACTGCTTCTTACACAAATCCAAATCGGAGAAACTGGTTATTTCCTCACTAAATGTTATTGTAGTCCTGAATTCTGCCACTGAAAATATTTGGCAGAAAGGCCAGCAAATGGTTTTCCTGTGTGTTTATGAATCAAATAGACACACACACGGACGGCCATGTTTTATTTGATGTTCAGATCGTTTTCTGAATAAAGTAGAAATCAATTCTCGTGATCTTCGTTGACTTAGAGCCTGCTGCACAGACGTGATTGTGGGTCAAGGTTCCATCAATACTCATGATTGATCTTTGTCCCGTCTGCTAACACGGAGGAAGCTGGGTTTATGACCTAAACTGCAGCCAGCCACTAGGGGGCGATCAAGATGATTTGGCTTCACTTTTGGGGAGCTGAGAGATCGTCATTATCATTGTCCAAATTTATTTTCCATTATTATTTTAAATACAGTTTATATAGAGAAATTATATAAATCGGTAGCTGGAGATGTTGGAGATGGGCGGCTCAGGGGGGCAGAGCATGTCATCCTCTAAACCAGAAGGTCAGCGGTTCGATCCCAGTCTTCCCAATTCCATGTGACAAAGTGTCCTTGGGCAAGATACTGAACAGCAAATGGCCCCTGACGGCTGAACTGATCTCAAAGCAGTGAAAAGAGCGTCATCTAATATAGACAAATCCTGTTGTTAATACTATGACCACTAGTCAAAGCCCTGACAAGCACTAATAACACATTATATCTAACCCTTAGGAGATTTCCTATCTAAATATACTGAGGCCTCGGCGTGTTAGCGTAGCTCTCAGTTAACACAGTGTCAAGCCTCAGATTGATGCAGGGATAATAACCACAGTGAGACCTGCTCGACATACGTGTGCTTATTTTTGCAGGGACATGAGATCAACTATGACTCGCTGGGCTTGTTTTAACGATGGGAAAGTGATTCGACCTTGAGACCAAAACGGTGACGGACAACTGACGGGATGAAAGAATACGAATCCTGCGGAGGATCTCCTGCTGTATTCTCACATCGGCTGCCTGTGACATTCTGCTGAGTCTTTAACTTGGGAGCTGAGGCCGAGGAACGTCCAGAGAAAGTCTGACAGAAATGTCTGGAGGTTCTCCGGAGTTCAGTGCACGTCTGAGAGCAGCTGTAGAGTCAACTGTAGGTCAGGACAACTACATATATAATTAAAATTAGAACTGCGTGCTAAAGGCATATTTGAATTTCCAGGGAGAAGCACTTCAGCCAAAACGCAGGGGTGAAGTTTCACTTTAAGGTCATGTAGCAAGAAGTTCACAGATTTTGTTTTCCTCATCTTATAAATACTCAGATATATGCTTTGAGGCAAACAAGTGTGTTTTATGGGATTTTGCTTTTGAAAGTGTAGAAACTCAATAAGTCAGAAAACCAGTCCGCCAGTTCTCAGATCTTTTCTTAAAAAGCATTTAGTCTCTGTAAGGTGTGATTTTCCAAACTTTCCCCAATATAGGATCTGATATCTTTTTAATGAGAACTACAGCTACACAGGAAAGTAGAAATAAACAGCACCATAATTTCACTCCTTCGAAGAGAATACACTCCACTGACATATACCTAACAATGCCTCGTCTTTTCTTTGTTTAACTAGTTTTGTACTCCACAGGAAACAGACGTCTGCATGCACATCTGCTTTCAATTCCTACAGGTTTACTTTGTCCAATCTGGCAACCCCACCTCCTGTCTGGTGTGGCATGTATTCATGTTTTTACAAGAACCGTTTTCTTATTTAATTGTGTATTAAGGGATGGATGATTGTCGAGGCATTTTTCCAGATTGCAAAGAAAAGTGTTTGTAATAACGGCCAAAAAAAGAACCAAAGGCTTATTTAGATGTTGTGTGTAGATGTTGAGATGATACTTCTGTGCGTGTTTGGTGTTTTTAATGCAACATGCATATAGATTAAACTAATACCTGTATAAGCTGGTGATTTAAGTGACTACTACATGTTTCATTTGCAGCTATAAACACGACTCCCCTGTTTTCAAACTTCATAATTTACAACTTGCAAAACGCGATTTTGGACAAAAAGCTTAAAGCGCATTGTAAAAAAAGTGACCAATGAAATTGTGATTTGTGTCGTGATCCTCACTCCTGATCTCAGTTTCATGTCTTGAAACCATTTTTACGTTTACTTCTTTTACCCCTCGGTTTGACTTGAGGAATTCCCAGCACTCTGCGTCCAGTGTGTCTGATGTAAATGACCTGGAACATCTGTCAGCAGCAGCACTCAGCGGGAGGCGGTTCGAGGTGTGACCTGTGCCTCTGTTTGTTTATTCTCTGATGGAATGACTGAGCGACTTACATGCTCCATTGTTTGGAAAGTGCCGAGTTACACGGAGCAGAAGACAGATACGTTTTTTTGAGTCACGTTCTGTTTTCAACGTGGTGCGAGTTTGATGTTTGTGTGCAGTTGGCATGGCAACAGCCAGGAATTAAGAAATTATGTCTATTTTTTGTGCACATTTTGTTTATTGCATAAAATAAAGTAGTAAAAATTGTAGAACTCACAGCTTATGACAAAGAGTGCTGAGGCTTCATTTTACTAGACTCTTTTAAATCCCTTCTTGAAAGTAATATTTGAAACAGTTTTATTATATTACATTATATTATATTATTATATTGCACAGATTTCCATGGAACTTGGTGGAAGGATGGAACACTGGCCTTGAAAGAACCCATAACATTTTGAAGCAGAGCCGGACAAAGGAGAGAATCCAGGAACTTTTTTTAAACGTTTTTTCAACATTTGTACCAAAATCCAAAGGAATAACTGATGGATCTCGATGGAAAAAAAAACTCATGTAATTTGCTGCAGCTTGACTGGACTGTTGTGTGGAGGCATGCGCTCGACTCATGTTCCTTTGTCTTTTTCTTGATTCTTAAACATCTTGTATCTGCCTTTATCTAGCACTTTGAATATGAAATGTGAAAAGTAACCTACACATGCCTGGTAGCTCAGCTGGAAGCATGTGCCTCACGTCGTCTTGCAGCACAGTTCAGTTAGGATCCAGGCCTTTGCTGTGTGTCCTCCCTCCATTTTCTTCACACTATCCTGTCAACAAAAACAAATTATTATGTTATTGTATGTTCAGCTGGAAATTCACACATCATATCAGCAATACATAAATTTAATTTGTTTTATGGGACACATTATGAAGATTAGAAGATGCTAGAATTAAACGTGATCAGTCTGTGATGGTCGCTCCACTCCGACATTTACTCAAACTCACTTATTGATATTACTACAGTTCCCAGACTTCCTTTCACCGAGGACATTACCTGGACTCTGCACACGCCCGTCAGCCTCACATTGCATCTCTTCCTTCTGTAAATGAAGCAAGAAAAAAACATCAGTAAACGTAACCAGGACTTCACGTTGCTCCGTGTGTTGAATCACTCACCTCTCGTGCCTCACACCTCATTTATGCCTATAAATCTTAGGTTTCCTGTTTCGTGCACGTTAGCCGTGGGCAGCCCGCGGTGACCTCTTCCAGCTCCAAGGCCACTCCTGAATCCAAGCACAAACTAACAAGTCAATTAGCTTTCTTTTCCTGTTGACATAGCAAATCAATTAACCCTCATTTCCTGTGCGTCTAAGGAATCCGTTAGCACTGGTTTCCTGTTTGTTTCCTGCAGGGACGGCGTCCATCGGTGGGGGCAGCTGCCTTGTTTGTGGAGGGACCACATGCACACATCAAACAGTGTCTAATAGCGGCCTTATCACAGCACATTAACCTCACGTAAACATGCCATGAGCCCTAGGTCAGGGCAGGAGGGCAGCATGTGTGTGTGTGTGTGTGTGTAGCCACCCACTTTACAGCCAGAACACACAATCAGTGTAATGCTTTGGTGATACCAAACTTCTAACTTGTGTCAACAACTACTAATCTTCAAGTGTCGTGTGATGTGAGGATTAATCTTCTATGACATAAACAAATACTGACCGGGGCAACTCGAGATACTCCTGAGAACACTTGAGCTCGAATGAATTTCCTGGTCCGACTTTCATAAACTTCTAACACTCTATATTAGATGTGCTATATTCAATTCTTTGTATTTCTACATGTGTAATCAGCCACACCTCTGCAGCGTCAAGATGAAAAAAATATGTCTACAGCTCCAAAATGTGGTGAACTGAACTAAATTCCAAGATTAAATACTGTATGTAATGATGTAGGATGATAATTTTATTTTCTATTGATTTAATGAGGTAAAGTTGTAAATTTATATATTCAGTGATAAAAGTCAGAAATGCACTGATACTGAACGCATCGGTAAAATATTCACAGAAAGTATTGCTGCGAATGCAAATCCTTCTTCCCTTTACAGCCAAACACAAGCATTTAAAATCCAACGTTAATCTAGATAAATATTTTATTGTCGTCATGGTAATACTATTACAGTTATGTCATGCCATACGTGAAACGTGGAAGGTCTAAAGCACCAAGCTGCACATGTTCTGTGCATTTCAAACTGAAGTATTGTCGCCTCTGAAATAACACATTTGGACAAAAACATTAAAAAAAAAACATAGGGAATATTTCATTGACCTACAGGAAAACTATAGAAGTAACTATTAAATAAATTAAACAAATGGTCTCTGTGTAAAACACATTGACATGAATCCTCTCAGCAGACATACAGCAAAGCGAGTGATAACACTGATACATACAGTACAATACAATCGCCTGTCCCTTTTAACAAATCCATTTCAGTGAGACACAGGACGTCGGCTATGGTGGTTAGTTCCTGATTTCTTTTTCCCAAAAAAATATACTGCATATCTATTTATACATTTATATAAACAACAACAAACACTTTTGATAATTTTCCTTTTTTTTTTATAACTCTAAAATACATCTATAATATTTAGAAACAATATTTACAATTTACCCCCTTTTTTATGTGACATTTCTGAAGAGGAACACTTGGTTTAAGAGCTAATAGACTTTCTCACACACACACACACACACACACACACACACACACACACACACAGGATATTTGATATTTACAATAGTTTTAATCGTGTCCTTGTGTCCATTCATTGAGCCGTCACTCGTGTGAGATCTCGGAGGCACTGATGAGCATCTACTGTAACACTGTAACCTATGAGGGAGCCGACATGTTGTGTAACGTCTGCCAGACGTCCCATAATACTTCCTGTTTGTGAGTTTTTGCTCGTGTTTACTCCGCCGCGCTGTGAGTAATAACTGAAACCTTATGAACGCTTCATGTTCCAAGACAACCTCTCGGTTACATGACTTTATACGCTCATCCAGGCCTCAATTTGTAAGAGACAAGCTGTATCGGTGTGATTTACCATTCGGACCCGACAACGCAGACATCATCCAGCCTAACATCCATGGAGTGTTCTGTTACCTGACAGCTAGAGTTGATTTCACGCGTTTGCTCCATGTTTTTTCTCTTTAAGAGTCACTGCAGCCTCCTCTCCGTCTTACACGATCAGGCCTCACTTTCTATGAGCCGATAAATGAAAACCCAATAAATGAGAGTTTATTCCAGAAACAATGTCTGCTAAAGGAACACACTCCCCATCTTTGTGATGAGCGGGAGCAGCGTGCAGAGGAAAACGAGAGAGTACGACGAAGATGAGGAGGTGGGTGATGCTGAAGCTGTGTGGTGGTGGTTGTGGGGGCTGTGGACTCTGTCGGGCGGCTGCACAGTGATGTATCCATTGATGATGCGAACCAGCGGAGGAGGCGGGGACTGGACTATCGAGCTGTGAAGAGAAGACGAGAAAAAGAAGAAAAACCTGATTTAAAATTTGGACGATTCACATTTATCTTCTAAAGGTCTTTTACACATCAGCTTGTAAAGAATGGAGTGTGACGTGAACACACAATGTTTCTTGGGCTTTAACCATCGCTGTTGGTGTTTGTTGTTGCTTGAAACTAAAATATTTGGTACAATAGTCGACAAAAATTTGTTTAGGTACGTTTTTATTCCCAAACTGATTTCCATCTCTTTCTGCAGCACCATCTCTGCACCGCTGTTCCCCTCTTTGAGTTTTAAGGGGAAACTCTGCTACAGAAGAAAACGCCTCTGCTTTTCCACATCGTCCACAACCGCCTGAGAAAATATGCCCACTGCAGAAGGTAAACAACGGAAATATTGATGATGATGAAAGCTAAAAAGGAAAATTTCCCGACAGAGGAATCCACTGCAGCAGAACTGACCTATCAGGGGAGATTTTAGCAAAACCTCTGGGCGTGCAACTCATTGATCAGCTCATGGCTACAAACCAACAGCCTGCCTGTTTTTACTTTCTTTATTTTTCCTTTTCTCTTCATGTTACATATTCTTACTGCTTGTTCTATTTTTTCTTTTTTCAGCTGTCTCAGTTCCTTTCTTTATCTGTCCTTTCATGTCTGGCAATTAAATCTTTTCTGCTCTTCTGTTTGATGCCGAGCCCGCGGTGTTTGTGTGGTTGAGACTGGGACAGGGCCAGGCCAAACAAACAGGACCTGAAGTCAGGATCTCCAGATACTGGAGGGCTGCAGCAGCAATTTGACACAGCATCACCACATTCAATATAAAGGAAAAGTAACTGCGAGACAGGGTTTCCTCCTCTTACTGGATCATATTACATTGATTAAGACTTATTTTGACAATGCTGCCCACACCCTAAATCATGTCTCTGTCATTACTCCTCATCCTGACTGCAGACTGATGAGAGCATGCTTCAGCTGCTTTCAGACATGCACTGAACTCTGGACATTCTCCAGAGCAGCCCCCTAGTACAAAGTCGACAGAATGTCCAAAGGAGCTGATGTGAGAACACAGGAGATCCTCTGCTGAGCGAGTGGGTGGTTTAATGTTTCTGACACACGACAGACGCAACAAAAAGAATAGAAATATCTGCACTGAGGAAAATATCAAACAGGGTTTTTGGTGATAAGAGCCGGTGTCCAGAACCCGAAAACCCAAACTATCCAGAGATTTCTGTGTTGTTGGTGATGTGTCTGAGATCTCCCGCTGTGCAAACTCTGGAGAGAGTCCGGACCCAATTCTGCGGACATCCTCCTGAGTTCACGTCTGAAAACGGCTTTAGAGGGATCATTGAGAACAAACGAGCTGGACTTTGGATATTTCCCAAGCTGAAGAAGTTGGAAAGGTTTGGAGAGGTATGTGAAATCATGTGCAAAAATGAAGTAGGGGGAAAAAGTTTAAATATTCAAGAGAAAGCCTGAGGTTGATTTTTGAGTTTATTTAGCTTCGAGGGTCTGGAGAGGCTGAGGGAAACCAGGTGCACCCCTTAACTCCGTGGCCATGCATCAAACACAACAGAGAGCTGTGGCACTGTGGCCGCTTCTGTTCTCTGGACTCCCTCTCCCGTTTTCTCACTCGGCCACCTTTTCAGACATTCAAATATACAAAGACGTGCACCGCGTACACTTTGCAAAGTGTACACAAACAGTCTGTTTCCTCCCCGCTCAAACGCAGCCTCTCTCGGAGCAGGGGGAAATCATTTCTACAGACATAATGTACACAAATGCTCACAAACCTCCTCTGTTCCTGCGGAGAACAGGCGATACATGACTGGATTTCTTTTTCTTCACCAATTTGGAGTCGTCCATACTGTACGTAGAAATATGCACGTTCATACAGCGGTAAGAAATCACTGTGTGCTTGACGGCAAAATCCTTCACTGGTGCCATTAAACAAAACTACAAAACTGTACCTGCTGATTAGCTGCAATTAATAATACTTAGAATGATTTCCAACCTGTTACTGTAACACTGGAATATTAATCACCACATTAATCGTAGACTAAACGATAATAATACAAAATAAAAGGACTTCAGTTTATTTCTTTTTCATTCTGATTTCTAATTGGTCTGTGTCACAGACTGTAAATAAAGATGGATGACATGACAGCTCGCCAAAAGTGAAGCCAAACCTTAGAATCGCTCCCTGGTGGCAGGCTCAAGCCTCCTCCATGTTAACAGATGGGACAGAATTAAAGAGATTTAGACTGATGTGTTTTCAAATGTTTTAATAAGTTATCTGATATGATAAAAATGATCACGATTGACAGGTGAGACTGACGCGTGATTGGCTGAGCACATTTATTGGCGGGACCACGGCTCCGTCCATCAATCACTACTACACAAGCTCTGGCTGAACGCCCCTGAATTGTTGGTTGTGTCAAAATGATCACGTGTCTACAAGTCCACCAATCAAACTTCTCGTCTGCTAAAAGAGGAAACGTTAATGTAAGTGACCCTGACAGACTCTGTTATAATGTTTCTCTACCACCTGACCTGCAGGTCTTTAGACTGTGGGAGGAAACCACAGGAACCAGAGGAATCCCCTCGCAAACATGACGACTCTTCCAAGAATGAAGTGCAGAGCGTCAAACCCTGGAGCTCGTTACTACAGGATGACAGAGCTAACCACTGAGCGATCGTGCTGCCAAAGTCAATCTGGTGTAAGAAGAAATCTCAGGCTATTTAAAGTATGTGTGTGAAGAAAGAAAGATAAGAGACAGAAAAATGGAAATCAAACAAAGCCTCATGGGAAACTACGGCATGTTCAGACAAACCTCAAATTTCAAATATTGAGCTGGAATTACACGAGTCCATCAACCATAGTAAACAAGCTGTGTTCAACACCAATTAAACACAAGACGAGGATTAACTGGCTCAAGCTCTTTCAGGAGAAAGACGGAAGAAAAAGAAAACACTCAGTCTTACAGATTTAATTTGAATTCATCCTTAATTAAGAAAAAAAATCTCATTTTCCGTCAGGGTTACTTTGCAGTTTGGGGAATACACAGCTACTGAACATTTTTCAACGAAAAGGGCAAATGTGTAATACAAGTTGTTGATGCTGTCCAGATAGATCTTTTGAGTTAAGACAGCCACTTTGACTTCAGGCTGATGAATGTGCCCTTAATCCAGTTTCCCTCGAAAGTCAATAAAGCTGCTTTCAGACATGCACTGAAGTCCAGACCTCAAGTTTTCCAGAGGGGCTGAATGTGGAAATGCAAAAAATCAGAGTCAGTTGCTCTGGACATTTTCCTGTTGTTGCCTCTGACTCATACGATCTCCTGCTGCGTTGTTCAAATGTGAAACACAAACGCCAGAAAATGCCTCAACCTCTTTTTTGGTACATTTGACAGAGTTCATGTGAAACATTTTTTGTTCTGTCTCCTTGTTTGGACCTTTTTGCAAGTTCTTCTCTTTTTGCATGAGTTTCCTTCAGGCTCTCTGATTCTGTCCCACAGCTGAAAGATGTGAGAGTTGGGAGAATTGCAAACTTGCCACTGGGTGTAGGAAATGGATCAATTTAACCTTTTCGCTTCCTGTCCAAGTGTAAAATCATATCAATGGAAACACTAAATTTCATCCCCACGACAAGCTGGGAGAAGTTTCAACATGGCCGACCACACCTTGCGGAGAGGTCTTCTTTTTGTCTGAAAGGTGAGCTTGTTTTGTTGTCTGGTTAGTCCCTGCCTGGAGCTACTGTGAGACCCAAACCGGATACTTACTAGAAATTCCCAGGCTGCTATTTTCACATCAGGACACTTATACCAGCTATAGTTTGGACTCCACACGACAGGGTGTGTGTGTGTGTGTGTGTTGGCGTGTGTGCAGACTCCATGAAGAGTGTGGTGATGTGATATGTTGGCTGTTTAAGCCTGCGGCACCATATTCTAAGGACAAGGCTGCGTAACATATTCCAATTTCCTCCCTCTCCTCTCACATCCTCTCTGTCCTTCTCGTCTGAGCGTTTACCCTTAAACTCTTTTCTTTCCTTTTGTCTCCATCTCTGGCCTTTTGTCTCACCTCTTCTACATTCCTCCTAATCCCTTTATCACGGCAAAAGCCACAAGGAAGTCATTGGTGACAGATGCACGGGGAAACGAGACCCCAGCCCTCGTTGGGTGCTCTTACCTCTCCTCGATGCGAACCCAGAGGTCGTTGAAGTGCCGGTGCCGCTGCTTCTTCTGCTTGTTCCTCCTCTTTTTCTTCAGCATTTTTCTCTCTGCTTTCTCCAGCAGCTCCAGGCTGTCCACCGGCAGGAGCATGTGGGGCAACAGGTCGTCGTCCTCCTCTTTATGGGGGAGCTCGTGGAGGAAAGGCTCCAGGAGAGGGGGCTCGTCGTAGTGGTCCTCGGACTCTGGTCTGGATGATGATCGCCTGGAAAACAAACAAATCCCAGGAGGTTGAGATACGTTTTTTAAAAAGAAAGATGTGGGAGATGCTTGTTGTCACAACATGTGGTGCTTAAACTTCAATATTTATATCAGCATGTCTGTAATTAGGGGATTAGAGGGTTTTTAAAAATTTGTTTTCTTGAATTTAGGCAGCAGACAACCGATTTAAGATTTAAAAGCATTTCCATATTGTGCCTTAACCTTAGTTGCCCCGGCAAAATGACAAGACCACAAAGCAATGTCCCCTGTTCTGTAGGATGACTAGAGAGCAACAGGTTTCGTGTTGACTCCGGGGGCCCTGAGCGGTCCAACACAAAGGAGCAATCGACAAACTTTGAAAGTCTGCAGTCTGAAAACTATTCATTTCCTTTTGGGTGTTTCGGAAATTTGACCTGCTGAGGGTGGAGGTGCTACTGACAAAGGAGGCACAGATGCAAGCAATTCTAAAAGAGAGGAGAGGAAAAGGAAAGTGAAGGAAAGGAAAGGAGGCCAGAGGAAAGGTGAGGGGAGGAGAGGAAAGGAGGCCAGAGGAGAGGTGAGGGGAGGAGGGGATGGGAGACCAGAGGAGAGGTGAGGGGAGGAGAGGATGGGAGACCAGAGGAGAGGTGAGGGGAGGAGAGGATGGGAGACCAGAGGAGAGGTGAGGGGAGGAGAGGAGAGAACATGATTCTGAGAATGTTCCAAGAACAAATATTCAGTTTAATTGAGAACATGTCTGAGATTTTCTGGAAAACAAATGAAAAACTCATCTCTCTGATTAGAAACACTTGAGCTTCTGATGAGCTGCTGGTCGTCACTGATGAGGTCAGTAACTATTTTTAACAAACAACATGCACACACACACAAACACCCTTTTACAATACAAAAAGAATTTCAAATTAAAGCTAAGTCTAGACTCTTTACCTCTAACCCTGTCACACTCTGTCCTGTCAGTGGAATGTGTCAGAGAACTAAATAAATCCTTGACGTCAGCTCAACCAAGAGAATAAATTGTCTTATTCTGAAGATTTTGTTTGATTAAGTTATAAATGTTCCATCAACTCATTAAAGAGGCCAGAATACAAATTCTGGTTAATTTCATTATATATTGTTTTTGCTTATTATAAGAACAACCTTTTAAAGATCAATTTTAACGCTCATTAAGATTTTTCGGTGGCAAGAATAAAAATGTATGTATTAATCCTACAGTCTATATAAGTGAACCTACAGTGGTGTTGTTGGACTCATCATCCCGCATCAATCACTGGGTTTGTGTATGAAAGTAGATTCACTCAGTCGTTCATCGACTCACACACAGAACGAGAAAACACAGATCTGCAGTGAGATAACCACCCGCGCTGTGCGCCATGGTAGACTGCACTACATGCTTCACAGCAGGAGGTATGAGTCCTGCTCGGTTTGGTCTTTTCAACACCTCCTCATCGGTGACATATCTGTGATGCCATCTATTCAGTGGAAACAGCTGAAGACGTGAACGTGAAAGGTCGATGAATGTGTTGAAGCAGAAAAATCCAAAACAAGAGATTCTCTATCAGGAGAAACTGAACCTGGTACAGTGTGATGACTCGGTCATGTAGTGTTGTGGTTCTTTTACAAGAGGGAAAGAATATTTGATTGTTTCTCGGTGTGGACGGATGGATTGATCACGCAGAAGCGTACATGTCAGGTAAGTGTGAGAGGCTTAATTTCAGCTTAAACACGATGTGTAGACAAGAGTACAATCAGTGGTGGCCCTGAAGTGCAAATCACAAAAGTAAAAAAACAAATCACAAAACCAAATGGCGAGAAAAAAATAGAATAAGAAAACAAATGACAAAACATAACGGAAAACTAGAAACAAACGAAAGAGCAAATCAAAAAACCCAACAGCAATTACAAAAACGAATCTGCAAATAAAACTAAAACAAGCTCAGATAAGAAAACAACTTATTGGCCGTTGTTCTTTTTGATTTGCTGTTGTGTTTTGTGGTGTGTTTTCTTATGTGAAGTGTTTGTGATTTACACTTCAGGGCCAATGTGCTTTATTTTCTTGCCTGTGTGGTCACCAGCCTCCCCAGTAAAATGAGTTTCTTACATGATTAGCAGATTAGTGGTTCTGCCAGTGAAGACACAAGATAATAAACTCACTCTCCGCAGTGTCAACAAAGCGGGTAAATTACTAAAACTGTAATTTTTGTCATACTTCAAAAAGACGAATGTTTAGGGACGTTCAGGGAGAGTGAGCGCTCTCGAAAGGGGAGAATCACTCAGCGGATAACGACCGAGTGCAGATTTTTTGATTTATTGGAGGGAACACATTTCTCACAAAGGCTGACGCAGGACGTGAACATCTGTTTTGGGTCTGAGAACAAACACAGGCCGGCAAAGGAGTCGCTCTTACTCGGAAAACGATTTCCCATTTGAAATCCAGTCCGTGAAAAAGTACAGAGAAATATATATTCCTGTCAGGGCCGAGAGGCAGGCGGTCGCTCTGTAAAATGTGGCCAGGACGTGGAACCTTACACCCATTTAAGTGATAAAATATGGGCTTTCGAGATTTTCAGAGGAAATCAGAACGTGCAACGGCTCTTTCCGTGCAACATAATGTTTTTTTTGCCTTGTTCTCTATCTGTCATCTCTTTATTTCTCAGTTTTTCATCTCCTCATGTCTCTAATGTTCCCTCAGCTTTTTTTTTTTTTTAATGTAGAGTTTCGTTTCCTGAAAATCAAATAATCTCAAACCACTTCTTAAAACTTTCTGGAAGAGAAAAACATCCTGAACAAAATGCTCACTTTTCTCCCCCGTCTCTTTGAATCTTTGAATTTGACCAAGCTCGGCTTGTCTGTACCATTTTCAGACTCTGACTGGTCAGTTGGTGTCACTTCTGGGTTTGCACTTATAAGCTATTTATCATTTCCTGTCATTAGTGTCTCCTTTACCTTGGCAGATTTTAGCGAACATATAATAAGAAGCATTTAGAAGGGATTTGGCAGTTTAACTCAGTTTGGAAAGAGTTCAATGAAATTATGACAAAACTTACCTTTGATTTTAGAAGAATAAATTGGAGCAATTTTGTAAAATTAGACGCTCGTATACATTAAGGGATTAGTTCAATTTGCACCATGTACGTCCAAAATCAATCAGAAAATCCAGTGCGTCGTGTGTGTGTGTGTGTGTGTGTGTGTGTTGGAGCAGTAAATGTACCTGTTTATGGGCTGCCCAGCAGGGGTGTGTTCCACCTCGTATCCCTGGCGACGCAGCACATCAATGACTGTATTGTTGCCGAGAAAGTGACCTGCAACCAAAAAAAAGGGAGATGTGGTGACCTCCACTTCTGAATGCTAATGATTAGTTTTACAGCGTGACAATGGAAACAAGACATCAACCTCACTGGGTCAAAAGAACCTACAAAGAATAAATATATATAGTGGAGTTCTTTAAGATGCAGAAGTTCTGGAAGATGAAGCAGGATTTTAAAATAAAAGTCCACAGAACAGAGAGGAGGAGGTTGGACTGTTACACAACCTCACAATGACACACACACTCTGACAAACACACTATGAACTCAGGCAGGAGGCACAACATTCATGATTTTCCATTATTTAAAGAGACGATTGATTTATCATTTGTTTGACAATATCAGACGGTAACAGTATCTTAGCATTTATGGAACATTTCATTACAAGATAAGCAATGAATGTGAAGACATAATTTCTTATTTTGAGTTCTATATTTTACTATTATAATAAAGTAATAGTAAAATATCGATCAGAGTTTTTAAGACACATCTGTATAACAAAGCTTTTATTGTATATAACTATCTGTACCATGTTTGTGAATTTTGTATTGTTTGTTGTAAAATGATCAAACTAATCCATCACAGTTTCATCATTTGTGTTTTTCTAAAATCATCTCTCTTCATCTCCCTTCTTGTATTCCTGATAAGTCTCCATTCACCCCCTCTTTCATATCATACCTCCTTTCTTCCCCTTCCATTTTCTCCTTCTGTTCCTTATCTCGGACTTCCCCTCTTCTCCCTCTTCCTCTCCTCCCTGCTCTGACCCCGTCAGCTAGGTGAAGTGGGGGCATTGAGGCTTCAGGTTGCCATGTCAAGAGGTCTCCATTCTTCCCCTCAGCCTGACAAAGGGGAGCAGGGGCCCATTGTTTGGACCTGCTCAGCCGTGGCACCGCCGAGCAGTGTAAACAATGAGCCCCGGCACTTTAATCTGGCCCAGAGCCACCGATAGAGACAGGCTGGCCGAGATGAGCATGATGCTTTACCCATCTCTGGAACTAAAACCACGTAACTACCACAGGAAAGTGCAGAGCGGGAAATTCAATATTAAATTAATCTGCTTTGTAAGTGTTGAATTTCAACAGTCAACTTCACACAAATACAAAAATCCTCAACATTTTTAAAATAGGACTGACCACCTTTAAATATGATTTAAAACTTGTTTATAGTTACTTCCAATTTAGGTGTTTTAACAAGAATTTGAGTTCCCTGAATCATCTACGTGTTCCCGTGAGAGAACGACCAACTGTGCACAAAAAAGCGATGTGCCTTTATTTTCATTTTAAGCCGTAATCATTATCAATACGGGTCGTCAGCTAAGTGAATAGCCAGCGGCCCTCCAACTCACCGTGGGGGTTGTAAACGACAGCGAGACGGAGACGGGGTTTTTCAGCCTGCTCACGTTTAGAAACAACTCAGCGTGATTTATGTGAGTTTACGTCAGGGGATTAAGGTGGGACAAATGGAGCTGTTCGGCACAATGCAGGGCCACAGAGGGGTGGGCGGACATCGGGACTTCAAAGGGATGTGCACACATGGACGGACACACACACACGCGCGCACACGCACACACACACGCTCAATTCTTACATGTCTCCAAAGGCTTCAACATCTTTTGAGTTTGTGTTTGAAAAGTGAAACTAAAGTTGTACTGATATTTGTGTGATCGATAAAGATATTTTAAATCTTGTGGTACAGCAGCGCACAAACCTTGAAAAGATGCAAACACAAGCATAAGTGATAAATATAAACACTTAGTTATGACTCCATTCAAAGTGACGCAGCGTTTGGCAACCGACGTGAGCAGCGAGGCTTAAATATCAAGTGATTGATGAGGGAAGTGTTTACTTATTTAGAATAATCTATGTGCTATTTGTGCCTCCATGTCCCTCTGGTTGCATCACAGTCACCTCGGAGGTCATTTCCAGAGCTGTGGGACACACAAACTTCTTCCACAATTACTTTAAAACTTAAATACTTCCATGTTTCCGTTCAAAACAAGGCACATGTGATAACTATAAAAAATGCTGATGCGGTGGAGCTAACACATGAACGTTATACACCGTCCTCCTGCACTGCAACAAGTTAGCTCCGCAGATGTTTCCACTGTTGACTCACACAATCACAATCAGTTTTTGTGGTTATTGGTTGGCTCACGGAAAATAAAGATTAAAACGTTTCCTTGTTAACAGCTGTAGATATTTATTCAAAAGCCATTTTTACCTCATTATTTGAAACCCTGGGAATAACTTCAACCATCTCTGCTTTTTCGCTTCAGTAAGTAATTGTTTGGATCGCTGACTTTCATAGTTTTCCGCCCGTCAGGTCCAAAATGTGTCACTTTCATTGTGGCATATAAAAAGCAGCAGTATTCATTCATGTAGCCCACGTTCAGTTTCAGAACCACACGTCTGCAGTGACACCTGTGACATCTGACATATATTTCCTCAGATTATTTATTCAGGCCAATTTCATACATTTTAAATCTATCAAATGGGCCAAAACCTGAAAACCGATGCACAATATGTTCAGTGTATGTGTTCCCAGCAGCACCGAGAGAGGAGAGATGGTGCAGATAAAGAGCCGGGGACAGAAGAGAAAGCTCTCATTCACAGCCCACTGCTCGCATGCAGCAGCGTTCAGAGACGGGACCGCGGCAGTGGAGGGTCACAGATTGGCTCATGCCATGGTTATACAAATGTACAAAGTCTCTGTATTTCTGTGATGTGTCAGCTTTGGGCCATAACAATGACTTATGATGAATAAAATACAGAAACACAACAAAACACAGATTTTTAAGCCTTTCAAAGTCTACTGAAAAATAGCGTTGCCTGCAAAACAAGTGCATTAACAAAATACGTATGGATAAAATATAATTGCTGCCTTGATTCCATTTAAAACTTTTTCCAGGAGAAGTGGAAAGGAGGAGGAGGAGTACGGTGCAGGACGTTTACAGCAGAAATATCCAGTGTTCACATCCCGCAACCCTTGAGTTGTTTGGTTGAAGCTCATCAACCTTGACCGATACTTTTAGGTTAGCAGCATACATGTAAAATCACCATTCATTCACTGGTTGCTAGGAGTGGATATTGTAAACAGTAACATACAATAATGGCAGTCAGTGAAGCACAGACCTCCACTAACAGTCCCCTTATGAAACCACCTTTAAATTCATAAGATCTTTTACTTGGATAAATAAATAGTTTTATTTTTATTAAGGTCCGTAAATTACTCTTTGAGAAATTCAGAGAAAATGTTGAAAAACAAATATTCAAGAAAGTGAAAATCCAAATCTGCATCAAATCCCTGACACATTCCGAATCCTTATTCACACCAAGATTCTTGATAATCCGTCCAGTTGCTTTTGCATAATTGTGCTAACAATCAAACAAATCAACAAACGAACGAGCAGTGGTGAAAACATAATCTCCATATCATGAAGATAATGCACATTTCAAACAAATGTTTCCTGACGCTGAGAAGAAAACGGCTGCAAACAGAAACGTTGTGTTGTAAATCGATACCTGTGGCTGCCTCGACCTGGAGTCACTATAAAAGCAACATGAAGTTATAAATTCTAAAGAGAATGAATGAAACATGTACGTTTCCAATAACCAACCCTGGAGCTCTATTTGTCAAACACCTGCGCTCAGACAGAAGAAAACAAAACAAGAACTGCTGCCATTATTCCTCCTTAAAAAAAAAAGACGTCCAGTCTCGTCAATCAGCGGCTCGAGTTATTAGAACATATGGTAAGCCTTAAATAGCATTCCTTTTCCATGCACATCAATATTTACATTACAACTTGTAACCAGGGCTCGAGCAGCAGTTCTCATAACATTACAGCATGTTGGATAAACAAACGCTACGGGCAGCGCTGAGGCCATTCTGCCCCGATATAGCCCTTTCTAGCTGTTTATGTACACATGTTCCCCGCTATAGTGAGCGTGGCCCGGCAGCTCATAATCACCATCCCTGAGCGCTGAATGAAGCCTTTTATTGACGGAGACCGCGATCAGGTGTCGGGTGCGTTCTTGAATCTTTACTACGCTGGGTCGGTGACGTCACCGATGACGCAAAACCACAGAACTTTTGGCCAAGGTTTCACGCTCTTTATTCGCTTGTCGCCACTTGACACTGCCGTGGTTTTCGGAGCATCAATCTTTGCAGCACACACGGGCGGCAGGGGAGCTTTAACACAAGGAGAGAGTTAAGCTATTTGAACTATTGTCAAAACTAAATAATAGCCTCCATTTTCACTTTTGACGTTCCCAGCACGTCAGACGTACTAACCGGCCAAACTTTAAACTCGGAAATTTCTGTTTTGGCTCGTCGAGCTGCGAACCGTCGAGCAAAACCTCATCGTCTTCAACTGTGAGGGAGACGCAGCCGTCCATAAAAGTGACAGTCATCAGACAAATAACAGGAAAATTATTGGTTATCCACTGACATAAAGATCCTCCTGGTGTTTTTCAAACAATGCCAGCTCTACATCAGCTCACACACAAAGCGTCTGGAGACACACTCTGCTTACATAGCACTTCTTCCTATCCCTGGTTGGATCATGGCGTTTCATGACAGATCGTCAGCTCCTCCACGTATAAGACTTAAAACCTAAGTCGGACACAATTTGTCTGACGAGAACCGGACACTGTTGGAAATGGTTGCAACGCTGAGACAATATGATTAGATGCTGTCAAGATGGATGACAATAAATTGACTGTATCATTATTCTCTAATCATTTTAGGAAAGATTTAAATTGACACACAGTTATTTGTGGTTTGTTAGATTCAGAAAAACAAGCTTGTCCCAGTAGTTTTTCTTGAATGGAGACATGAGGCCATATTTAGGTTTGATAACATATCAGCTAATTAGCACTGTACAGTATTATTTTCATTTTTCAGATTAAGCATTTTTACTTCTTTTACCTAATTTCACCTCTTGTGTTCTGCTCATTTTTTATCAGTTTCATTTAACTTTACGTTGTTTTGACATGTGC